CAGAGCTGTGTAAGTGTGAAATCATTTTCAATTTTAAATCAACAATTTTTTTCTATCCAGTTTTCATTACTTATTCTTCGCTTAGGATTGAGGTTTAAAATTTTTGAATATTAAAAGAACTTTGTGAATTATGTATTTTTTTTAATACCAGACTAGTCCTCAATTAAAACATACAATATGTTTTGTTATTTATCTTTTGGTTTAATCGTTATTTTAAATTGTTCTTAAATGTCAAGTTTTACCTAATTTTAAAATAAATATATATTAGATATATATATTTTTATTTTATTTCTACTTGAAATCAACGAAATTTTCTTTTAATATTCAGAGTGCTCGAAGCACGTTATCTTTTTTGCTCAGAAATCCACACTTAAATTATAAAAAAATAATAATAATTTTGTACAATACAGACAAAATTTTACGAACTTTTTCCTTTCTTAGGGCCGTTAACTTTCAGTATATGTTTCTATGTTGTTTAGATCTAAAAAATAGCGCACAATGAAAAAACGGCAAAAAAACATACCAAAGTTTTTATAATAAGTAATACAACACAGAAATTTTTTTCCGTGCATTACCACCAACACATTCTCATTTTTTGTTTCATAACTAATACATGCTCATTTTAGGACTTTTCTCTTTTTGGCGGGCACTGCTTTAAACAACAAAGAAGGAGTCGTTTGACTGCGTTCAATTTACACAGGCGAACGAGAGCACAAAGCGTGTTGCCCGAGCACGAGCAACTCGGTGCCCCTCTCCTTTCCTCGTTCCGCTCTCTCCTACAAACGTCGAGTTGCGGCAACAAAAATCGCCGTGTGTAAATGAGCACTTAGCACAGCTTGCACTGCCTGTTCAATGCCTGCTGTTGTTTCCTCCGTCTCCTCTACTTCTTCGTCTTTATCGGCCACGATCACTGATACTGTGAGTGTGAGGGCGGGTTCGAATGCTGTGGCTGCTATTAATACGAGCGTTATACCTGCTGGTGCGAGTCGCTCTTCGCGCTCTGTTTGCTCTCCCGTACCCGCTTCTTCAAGTGCTACTGTTGCTGTTTCTGAAAGCGCAGTTAGTCAACGACGTAGCGTAAACGTAGGTTGACGTACGTAGCAGCATATCAAATTTACTGTTGATAGAGAGAGAGAGAAGCAACGGCAACGTCACCGCCATGCGGTGGTGAGTTTTCGTTAACACGCGAATCCCATAAAGTAGATCGTGTCTGCGTCAACCTACGTCTACGTTACGTCGTTGATTGTTTGAGCTTTGAGTCTCGGCCGACTGCTGCTGCTTCATCTTCGTCATTTCCAGTATTCCAATTTCAATTGTACTAACGACATTGAGTTCTGATGGTCAGCGTTCAACGTCTCAGCAAGCTTGGTCGTCTTATGCTGGTGCTCAGAGCTGCCAACTTGGCTCAAACCGGGCCAGTTTTGGCCCCATTTTACTTCAAATGGCACTTCATTTTTCAATTTGGAACAAAGTGCCAAAATGGCACTTTTCAAAAATAGTAATATTTCAACACATTTTTGTGAAATCCTTTGCGTGTACTTCTTTTTCTCCACTAAAATTTTCTAAGTTATATAGTGTATAAAACTGGTTTATTTTACTTTGGCATTGGACTTTTGTTTTAGAAATGTGTTTCAAATTTTATCGGTAAATGTTTTCAAAGCAATACATCGGTGTACTAAATGTATATACTTGGGGTGGAATTGTAAAACTATTTGGTAAAAATTTATTATACAGTGACTGATATCACATATAATGTAATACATAGTGTTAAAAGCTAAACTTTAGAAAACTGGTCTCCAAAAGTGTTTTTAAATATGGGCATTCCCATGGTGGCGCACGTGACAGTCGTACGATTTCAATGTGATACAAAAAAGGAATACCATTTGTTTTCTTTAACTTTTTTGGGCCATTGTATAGCACATAATTAGCTCTATATTTAACCGAAAAATGAAATCAATCGAACTGCTTGGTCCTGAAATATAAGCATTTAAAGAGAGTGTCGTTACGTGACAAAAAATGGAAGTTGATTTTTTCTTTTCTTACAAAATCGCAAAACTCTGCGAATTGTGGATGGCTATTTTCATGAAACTTATTTTAATATGATTTGGAGCAATTCTAGTTGTTTTTAGAGTTTTTTGAATTAATGCAAATTGTTTCAATTCTATTTTACAACGCCAAGTGTGAAACGTGACGTGACGTGGCGTCACGTGACATAAATTTCCATCGTTATATTTTTGTTAATATTGCTTTTAAATGAATTTTCAACGCAAATAAAACTTGTATTTTATGTAGAATATACTTTATATTTTGACTTCAGCGCCAATTCAGGGTCAATTTATTAAAAATCTATGATTTATTATGTTTCAACCACATACGCCAAATTCGAACCAAATCGGACCATAAATACGGTTTTTCGAAATATCTCGACCTTGGCACCACCTAGGAAGACCATTTTATGCAAACATGATTCTACTTACATAGCCAGTATATATTTTAAAAAGCAGACAAATCGGCCCGTAAATACGTTAGATATAAAACTTTTATTTTTTTTGTCGTGGTGGACCTTCCGCTGGAAACACCCATATATAAACATAAATGCATATGCGTTCTTAACCAGAACAACTGTGAGTTTGGATAAATATTTGATGGCCTTGAAGGTATTACTTGTCCACTTTTAAATATGAATTTTTATACATTTAATAGTTGTATGATTCCTGGTTTGACCATTATGAAATGTAGAAACCATTATTTGAAGCGACCAAAATATCAATATTTGGACAAACTCTGCGGAATAATGTTAATGGATAATTACCATAGAAAGTACAAAATAATTGGTTGCCAGGGGATTATTTAATTTGGTGGTACTTTCAGTTTCATAAAATATTCACCAATTATTTATAAACTGCTGTAAAAGATTTCACGAAAATCAACCATTTGACGGATGCATTAATAGAACCGCAAAATGTGTAATATTTCATGGTGCACATGGGAAAAAAACATCGATAGTGACAAAAAAAACATCGATAGTGGGGAAATTGGTAAATATCGATACTATCGATAGTGCCATCGATTGTTTTCCAACTCTAGTGCATCATCCAAAATAAATTGCTTTTCGCTGTCAAAAGTAAAGTGTGTACCGAACAGCATGGTTTCTTTCCAGGCCGCTCAACAGTATCTAACTTTGCTTAGACGATTGTATCGCAGCCTTTCAATCAGGGTATCAAGTTGACACCGTTTATACAGACTTCTCTAAGGCCTTTCATAGGGTTTCCCAAGTGATCCTGATTAAAAAATTAGCACGCATTGGTTTCCACTCAGTATTCCTTAGATGGATCGCTTCTTACTTGCACAATCGTCGTTGCATGGTTGCTGTTTACAACGATAGATCTATTCCGTTTGTTGCTTGTTCTGGGGTACCACAAGGTAGTATTCTGGGACCGTTGTTGTTTGTTTTGTTTATCAACGACATTTGCTCTTGCTTCGCGTCAGCAAGATTTTTGCTATATGCAGATGACCTTAAGATCTACTCGTTTATCAGAAGCTATCATAACTCTGCATTGATGCAAATCGATTTCGATAATGTGAGTAACTGGTGTACCAACAATCGTTTGTCCCTGAACATAACCAAGCGTTTCCATTTAACATTTTCTAAGCCTGCCAATGTCATTGCCACCTATTACCACATATCTAACTCGCCCCTGTCACGGGTGAGTGAAATCAAAGATTTGGGAGTAATATTTGATTCTATGCTTGCCTTTACAAGACATATAAATTTTATTATTGCGAAACCATACGCCATGCTTGCTTTTGTCAGGCGTCATAGCTCGGATTTCTCCGATCCCTACACGCTAAAGCTTTTATATACTGCGTTTGTGCGTTCAAAACTGGAGTATGTCTCCTTCATTTTGTCTCCATATTATACGTGCCATGCTGCTAGAATTGAACGGATCCAGAAAGTATTCTTATACTTTGCGTTGCGTAATTTACGCTTCTCGGATCCTATCCCCACCTATGAATCACGATGCCTAGTGATCAAATTAAAATCATTGCAGATTAGAAGAATAACCCTATCTTTGTCTTTCGTTTTCGATTTGATCAGCGGTGATGTTGACATGATGCCCCATGCTCCTTGGGAGGATTTTCTTTAGTATTCCGGCTAGAGCCCTTCGTAGTTCGGAGTTTTTCTATGTTGGTATTTTTAAAGCTATTTATGTTCGAAATGCTCCTATTACTCGAGCCCTAATTGAGTTCAATAGAATCTCTAAATTTATTGAGATAGATTTTTCATTTCTAAAAGATCGCTTTTTGAAATCTTTGAATACTTTTTATAAATAGTATATTTAGTCATAATTTTCGTTTTTTTCTAAATACTGGCTGGCTTCCAAAACGTATCAATACAATGTTTGGAAACTGTTATACTGCGGTATTCACACTGTTTGTATATGCAGAGTTGCGACACATTGCAACCATATACATTGCATATTTTAAATACTCAATATACCAATAAACAATTTTAATGAATTTTCCATTTTTAAAACACCAATGGTAACCAATAACAAACGAAGCAACAACTTTGTTTCTGATGCGCTGATTGCGCTAGCGATGCGTTTCGATAAAATTTCGGATGCGTTTTGGAAAAGTATACATCGTCAACATTTTGTGGTTCGGCGTTATTGAACGTTATACTTTGTACGTATGCAAAGCAATTGACGTTTTGGAAGTCAGCTACTGTTTAACTTGTATATAAATATGTCTACTTAGCCTATAAGAATTTTTTATGTTCATTGTCATTGGCTTAATAAATAAATAAATAAATAAATTTATTATTATAAACTCTTCATACTCTGGTGTAGACTTGTATCAGATTCTATAAAATTGTAGTGTTATGAGCGGAATCACTTATAATGGGCAGATAACTTATCAGATTTATATGTTGCAAAAAATCTAATTGAATTATAGGCAAATATATAGTCAAAATCTTAAGGGATTCGCCACGATAGCAACGCTTGCATCGTTGGGGAGTTGGGGTTTAAAGAAAAAACTTTGAATTAATAAAATATTCAACAGTTCACTTTATTGGGTTAAAAAGTTCAGGTTTTCATTTGAGTTGTTACAAAGCACAAGAAGCGAAGGTTTTTATTCCGTCAGCGGTCGCGAATGATTTGACGATTCGGCTTTTCCTCCCTCTTAATTTCGGTGGCCAAGAATTGAGGCATTTTAGAGGTCAATGAGGTTGCCACAGTCCTCATTATGACCATACCGGCCCCCTGCACCGGTGCAGCCTGGTGCAAGTGTTGTTGTAGATCGTAGAGTGACGATACTGCCGCATTGACCAGGTGATGCAACTGCTGTCGGCGTTTCTTGACGTGGTCATTGCGAATTAGAGGCGCTTTTCGTTGACGACTGAATTTATCTCGCTTGGTGGTTTGCCGCGGATCATCATGGTGATTAGTAGATCGACTGGCCTCGTTGTTTGGCTTTCGTTGACGGCAATGATACAGCCGGGATTGCACGCTCCGACGGTGCTGCGTAGTGGAGTGCAGCCCCGATTTGACAGTCACCTTGCTAGCGAAGCGTTGAGGCTTTTTTTCATCATGGCGAGTTTACAAATGCGGCATCTATGTCGAGACGAGCATGAACCGGTTTGGTGAGAACTGGCAAGGCAGTTCATGCAATATTTGTGATTTCTAACTGCTTCGATTCTTTCGGGGACATCCATATTCCGAAAACTGGCGCACGCTTGTAGGGGGTGAAATTGGCAACAAATCTGACACTGATATAAATCGGGTGATCTGAAAAACACAAACAAGTGGATTAGAAATAAGGCAATGGAAGGTTGTAATGCAATCAAGCATACATTTTACCTTATATGAATTCGCCTTTTACTAATCTATTACAATTAAGAATTAAGAAGTTACGATATTGAAAAATGCAACCCTGTTGTTTTGCGAAAACAGCTAACGTTAAGTCAAAAAGTGGAAAATAAATTGGCGCCATTCCATACGCGCCATTAAACTCGAAAAGACGTGTTCTTAATTTTAAAGTTTCAAGAGTTCGGTCTCCCGGCCTTCGGGCACGTACAGACCCGGAAGCCAAGCGGAAAAACCTGCTAACGAGCCTGAGACTGCTGCGCCGTTCGACTTTCGCAGAAACTGCGAAACAGCAGCACTTGAGTGCGAGCACCAGCGGAGCGCTAGGGCTCCACCGAACAGTGCGACCCCAGCGGAGCACCCACGCGAGACAAGGAAAAGTGCGGCGTGTGTGTGTGTGGTAAGAGGTCAGTTCACATGGCGACCGAGACTGCGGCTTGCAAGATGGAGGCCCCCGGCGTGAAAAATGCAAAACCAAATAAACGTTTTAAAACTAAAAATTAAACAAACTCAAACGTACATATGACGCCGAAAACGCGTAAAAATTAAAAAAAAAAAAATGAACTGAATTTTCGATTTAAGATCAAAACCCGTACATACAAATACAAATAGTGGCGGTAACTAAAAATAAAAAATAAATAAACACGCGTATATACATATACGCATATACGCATATACATATGTGATGGCAAGAATATAAAAACGAGATGAACTCTATTCAATTTCACACAAATCACATACAGTGGTGGCGGTTAAAAAATTTAAAACTATAAATTACAAAACAAAACCTACAAAATCAAAATACGCACAATTCATTATATAAAAATAAAAAATAAAAATAAAATAAATAAATCACAAAAAGCGGTGGTACCAAATTTTTAAAACTCTATACATACAAAATTACTGAAAAAACCAAAAATGTACAGTTAAAACAAAAAGAAAACGGTGGTACCAAATTTGAACAGTTAACAAAAACATTGTTGGTGATGATTGGTGGACCGGTAACAAAGTGAAACAACAAAAAGTGCGGTTAAAAATTTAAAAACTCTAAAACTGAAATAAGTGAAAAAGTAAAAGTACAGTACTCCAAATAATAGTTGCACCAAAAACGCATCATATATCTGTTGTATAACGGCAAAAACGCCATCCACCAACCATAGCTGTACCCATGGCCACGCCATGCTACTGTTGTATAAAGGCATAGGCACCACGCCATAAAAGCGTCGCTAAGCCTTGGCGCGACGCAAGACAGCGAATTGTTATGATACAGACTGAGCGGGGGAACAATCAGCGAGAACACAACAACATCAACTTAGCAAAGCAGAGCAACAAGAACAGCACCACGAGTAGCGGTTTGCAGCATGGTATGATGCACAGTGTGCAAAAATTTCAAATTTTTTTTCCCCTCCATTTAACATTTTCATGTATCTACATATATAAAAACCAATGTACCTATTATTTCTATTTCATACGTATGTATATATATACATATCATTTGCTTATATATATATATTAAAATATGTTAATACATGCTTTCAACTGTATGCATATATGTGGTACTATTTTGCTTATGTAATTTCAGCTTCTGCGGTACAGTAGTGTGCTAATTTACTACAATCTTTATTTTTAACGTAACTTTGTGACAAATTAATGGTTTTTAACTAGAATTTTGCTTCGGTGCTTTGCAGCATTAGGCTGGAGTCACATTTTTGAATTTTGATGACCGTTATTTTTCGAATATTCAATACAACCGCTCATCAATTTAAAATTTTAAATCGAATTTCCGCCTGTGCCATGCCGTGTTTTTTATACAAAATTTGTGCTACTTCTTAATTGTTTTCTCGAAGGAAAACACCGTGACGTAAATAAAAGTTTGCGAAACCCAACAATTTTTCTTAATCAAAAAAAAAAGTTTGAAAAACAAAAAACCATCTTTTAAATTGCATGTGAGATATCACAAAGGAAAACAACATCCTTTTCCTATTGCATGGTTATACCCCTTATTGCATGCCAAATTTTCAGCGAACTATAATATTTGACTATTTCCTCAGTAAGTAATACATATATTCTTTTTATAAGCTTTTATTTAAATTGGTCATCCCGCGCAAATCACGGAAATTTCCAATCGATTTTAAACTGACTTCCCGACAAGTTAGAGACTTGAAATTTTCAGCATAGTTCCAATCACGATGACACTGCAATTTAAAATGTAAATGAATTCTCCATATGGTCCAAGGGTCTTGATTCAAGGCGGTCAAAAAATAGTAAGATTTATGGCTAACAGAGCGTAATTTGCCAAAAAACGTAAAACCACTATAAAGTTGTTAAAGCTGCCGGCGCCCCGCGGCGGTAGTGTAGCAAAGATATTCCTAGTCTAGATATGAGCCTAGTTGTAGGCATCATATCAAGGAGATACAATTAAAAGACTCCAGATGTCGCCCCGCCAGAAGAAGTTAAATATTGCGCCTAAATATATGCCATGCTA